TTTCAGCAAAGTGAAATAAGTTATACTGGTATAATTGCCTTATACTATAATAATGCATATACACTAGGACTTTTACCAGCACCACTATGTCTGTTAATAAAATAACACCCCTATGGGCTTCTCCACTTACTGGGAAATCGACACTGTAGAGATCGATCTCCTGGGGTTCAAGTTAGCAGGTCTAATAAGGACCCACTAAATCAACTGCTGATTGTGCCCTTGTTGATTCCAATACCCCACTGGGTTGTGAGGCATAAGGGAAGCTATTCGCACAGCTAGAGTTGTATATCTTACTTCAACTTTCTCCCGTAGTGTAGACCTGACTTACCTGACAGAATTATTCCAGTAAATCTTTTTCAATGTAGTCCAGGACCCATATTAATCTTTGGTCCTCCCCTATCAATTACAAGCAGAGCTTAGGCATCCTCTTCCCCACAATTATCTTCACCACTGTGGTTTACAAATGGCCAGCAAGAGAGAAAAGGTCTGGAGAACTGGTGGTGGAAGCCTTGTGGTGAAAAGGACCCTTTGCTTTATAACAATTCTTCTAAAATTATTTTTAACTTTCACGCCACTGCTGACAATCTTAGCGGCCAAGTTGGTTGCCATTGTTAAGGGCTACATTGTAGCATTTAGACATAGCCCTCCTTTGGGGACTATGGCCAGCCGCACTGTCCCCAGGGGAGCAGTGGAGGCAGAATGTCTTGGGCCCTGCAATGTGGAAGGGATGTAGCCTCTTTGAGGAGTGCAGTCAGGCCCGCTGATGGAGGAGACACCACAACTGCCCCCAGGTCCAGTGATTCACAGGCCCTTTAAATTGCTGCCAGAGTGCCAGACAGTGCATTCCAGGTAGCACTGAGGGCTGGCTGCCTCCCTCCCCACACCTTTCATCCAGTATCCTGCCCCTTATAGAAGCATGAACCTGGCCCACCCCCACTTTGCCCAAGGGCCTGGCATGTCTGTTGGCCCACCTGAGTGCAGCGTAAAACTCCAGCTGTGTCTAGACTGTACAGATCTTCCAGAAAAAGATACGCAAATTGTGAATCGCAATTTGCATAGCCTTTTCCGCTTCTTTTTTCTGACATTTGGTCCATCTACACTGGGCCAAATGTTGGGGGAAAAAAAACCTTTTTCAGAACATCCCTTCTTCCTCATAAATGAGGTTTACAGAGGTGCTGAAATATTGCATCTGCTTTTCCGAAAAAAATTTCAGAAGAGCAGACGCGTTCTTTGGATGCAGCAGAGTTTTTCCGGGCTACCTCTGGTAGCCCAGAAAAACTCTGCAGTCTGTATGTACCCCTAGAGTCTCCAACTCTGCTGGTCATTATCACCTCCATTTACTCTTTTCTCATCTCCACCCACTTTGGATCATCATGCATTTCTGAGGAGCATTCCCTGTGCATTTTAGTTCTAGAAATCTCTTATTTGCAAAAGGGAAAGCTTCTAATTCCATCCCATTCCCAACATGCACTCATGGAAGGGCTAGACAGAAACTAGCCCTAAGAGGAGAAAGAGTAGCTTTCCTGGTTTGTTTATTTAAATTCAAATAAAACAATTCATGTTCAGTGACAAAAGATCACTGGAAATAAAAAGTGAAGAAGTGTTGTCCTATTTTCTGCTTTTAGGGCCTAATCTGACTCCAGTGGTAGTCAGTGGAGTGACCGTACTGAAATTTCCTTGTCAGCCCATTACTGCAAAATATCAGAGAAACTTCAGAGTTGTGGGTGTACAAAGCTATTAACAACTGTGGTAACTGGAGTGCTATTTCCATTTAAAACTCTAATGTATTTTAAAGTAATTTTCATAAATCTATTCAATATATTGCAGCTAACATGGGTTGTTTTTCTTCTGACATGAAATCAAAGGAGCTAGTAAAAACTTGTCTGTCTTGTGAAAAGTTAATACATTTTCAATACAAAAGTAGACAAAGGGAAAATTCTGTCTCTAGAAGACTGAGCTTGGAAGTTATGGTTGATCTCACTTTTATTGAGCAATTTTACTTGCTAGGTGAAGGGTCATTTTTTTAGCATTATTACTTCAAATTGCCTTTAATACAATAAGGCCAAGACTAGAATTGTAAATAAAAGAGAGTCTTAAAGATTTCCTGCCCTGAATATTTGACATTTCAGCAGTTTTCTTTATATTCTCTTATAAATAGGATCTTTCAGTTATTTGTATTATGGTTAATGATGATTATGAATCTTTGAATTAAGGGTTTGACTGTTAAAGCTATGTCCATATCTAGGATATCAAGGAACGACTGATATCCTAGACCCTTCAACAATCAATTCGCAACCAGTTGCCTCATGAATTGCAAAAGATGGTTAAAAAAATTGGATAGGACAGTAAAGATGAAAAGCAGCAACATAAACATATCTGCATTGATTTCAAGTTAATGGTTTTTAAAACAAGTCAAGTTATAGACTTTAAGGTCAGAAGGGACCATTATGATCATCTAGTCTGACCCCCTGCACAGTTCAGGCCACAAAATCTCACCCACCCCTCCTAGAAAAATCCTCTCACCTATATCTCAGATATTGAAGCCTTCAAATACTTTGAAGACCCCAAGATGCAGAGACTCCTCTAGCTGTAATCTGTACCCCATGCTACAGAGGAAGGCGAAAAACCTCCAGGGCCTCTGCCAATCTACCCTGGAGGAAAATTCCTTCCCGACCCCAAATATGGCGATCAGATAAACCCTGAGCATGTGGGCAAGACTCATCAGCCAGACACCCAGAAAGTTCTCTATAGTAACTCCTATCATCCCTCTATTGACCTATTCCCCACTGATAATGAATGGACAATTAGCTACCAAGATCATGTTATCTCATCAAACCATCCCCTTCATAAACCCATCTAGTTTAATCTTGAAACCAGATAGATCTTTTGCCCCCACTACTTCCCTTGGAAGGCCGTTCCAGAACCTCACTCCTCTAATGGTTAGAAACCTTTGTCTAATCTCAAGTCTAAACTTCCTTCTAGCCAGCTTATATCCATTTGTTCTTGTGTCCACATTGGTATTAAACTTAAATAATTCCTCTCCCTCCCTGGTATTTATCCCTCTAATATATTTAAAAAATGCAATCATGTCCCCCCTCAGCCTTCTTTTGGTTAAAGTAAACAAGCCAAGCTCCTTGAGTCTCCCTTCATAAGACAGGTTTTCCATTCCTCGGATCATCCTAGTGGCCCTTCTTTGTACCAGTTCCAGTTTGAAGTCATCCTTCTTATACATGGGAGACCAGAACTGCACACAGTATTCCAAATGGGGTCTCACCAATGCCTTGTATAATGGCACTAACACCTCCTTATCCCTACTGGAAATACCTCGCCTAATACATCCCAAGATCGTATTAGCCTTTTTCACGGCCACGTCACAATGGCGGCGCATAGTCATTCTATAATCAACCAGGACTCCGAGGTCCTTCTCCTCCTCCGTTACTTCCAACTGATGTGTCCCCAGCTTATAACTAAAATTCTTGTTATTAATCCCTAAATGCATAACCTTACACTTCTCACTATTAAATTTCATCCTATTGCTATCACTCCAATTTACAAGATCATCCAGATCTTCCTGTATGATATCCCGATCCTTTTCTGAATTGGCAATAGCTCCCAACTTTGTGTCATCCGCAAATTTTATCAGGACACTTC